AAAACAAGCTACAAAAATTCTACATTCTTGTGACATTGACAAAACAGTCATTGACTTAATCATGGCAGGGGAAAAGACGGTGCTAAAGCTAAAAGATTTTAATCTTGTATCATTAAAATTATCGCCAAAGCTGCACTTACAAGGAATAACATACCTTATAGAAAGCAAGTGCTTAGATGTTGATGCTGAGAAACAATTTAGGACATTTGAGGATATACTCACTACAAGGAGAGATATGCAAACCAAAGCAGCTAGTTCTCATCAGGATATAAAAGAGATTCATGACAATCTTGGTGTTCAGACTGATGATGGTCGAAGTGATARTGATGATGATTATAGTACTGGGCAGGAAAGTGATGAAGAGGATGTTGTTTTTAATTAGAATGATATAACAAGTTAGTGTTTTATAATCATTATTGATCTCAAAATATAAGTTCACAGTTCAGTTGAGTTCTTTTAATTATACATGATATTATATTTGTTTATAGAATACAAGATATTGTAAAAAATGTTATAGATTATTATTTATATTTAAAACTATGTTCACAGCTAATATATTATTTAAAGAAGATATTCTATGTTTCTATCATTGTTATTGTTGAAATATTAAAAATGAATAATGAATGTTTGATGATTAATACATTTACGAGGTAGCACCGTCATGATATCAAAAATGTTCTGTTTGGTTTATCTATTTATTTTTTCATTTTGGGTCCCCCCCTTGAGATATTTTTTTATTTTCAAATACCCCCCTTTTATACCTAAAATTTTTTCGGAGACCCCCCAATTTCTCATCAGTCCCCCCCAACAAGTATTTGTGAATGCTCCCTAAATCGTATAGATCAGAAGTTGTCATAAACACTGACAAGACAACAAAGTTAGGTTGACATTTCGACATAAAGTTCCTTATGAATAATTATAAAAAATATCAGGTGAGGTATTTTTTAAAGAATATGGACTTCAGACATTTGTGTTTTTAAAGCAAATTTTCACAAGCTCAAAAGAGCTGCTCTCTTTCATTCATAAATCCTCTTCTTTTTATAGTCTATGCACACGAAGTCCAATTCCATTGTAAGGTGCACTCGAAGAGCAACATCAATTATTTGTTTGTCAATAAATTGTACATTTACAAAAACCAATGTCTAGGAGTATTAATCTGTACTATTAAACTCCTTGCATGCATGTTTCCCACCATCCCCCCTTCCCCCGCTAAGATACTTCATTTAAGATATAAGTTATTGTCCTAGCACTTTCAGAAAAGCCATAAACAGTACAAGAAAAAATGACACAGTGTTGATGCTTCATTTTAATTTCTGTAATTTATTATTATTGTGTATTTAATGTTMGTTGGTGKGACATGTAGAGTGAAGTCATTAAACCAGTGAAACAAAATAGTCAAATAGACACAAAAGAAAACAATGCAATTRCATGTAAAGCATGCTAGTGTGTTYGTGTAATAYCTATTTCACAGGTTTTTTGACTTCACTTAATTCCCTAYAGTACTTGAATAWATTAATAGCAAAATTGATCTAAGTTTGGAATAARGAGAAATAACAACATGTTARAGTGCTYGCACTAAATGCRTGAAATATAAATACTACAAAATAGGTGRTAAATTATACAAATTCCTTTGTTTCCTATTGTATAATCAAAACTATTTAGTAGTAATTAGTACAATTTGTTTCACGATTTAAGTGCGAGCACTCTAGAGCCAAGATACTTAAATAGTACAAAATAGTGCTAAATTATGTTAATTCCTTTGTTTTCTATTGTTTACACTATTTAGTAGTAATTACTTAATTTTCTTTCCATGGTTGAAGTGTGTGCAGTATAATTGTTTGAATACATGTGGCATCAAATGATGAGACAAGTCAAAGGTCAACATCAATGAGAGTATATCCACTAAATATGAAATAGCCTACGATGCCAGTAATTTGCAGTTTTAGGGTTGATGAAAATTGAGATTGCCCAACAACAGCAACTATTTTGTTAGCTCTCTATCTCTCCTGTATAGTCATAGCACTCCATCAAACAATTTTACTAGCCAAATTGGTCATGCTTTTGATTTTGAGAGTGCAATTTTCATATATATTTATTATTTCATTTCATGTTTTTCATCCTTGCTTAGAACAGAACATTTTCATTTAAGAGCCAATAATAATATAATGCACATTTAAAAGTTTTTAAATTTACACTATTCTATTATAAGTGCAAGACAATACACAAAATAAATCAATATTCAAAAACTCATGAAGACAAAAATATGACTTGCTGCAGTTCTTTGTTTGGAATACACTCCTGAAAAGCAATGGGGATACAATGATTGATTGAGAGAGGACATTTATCATATATCATTGTCTTGACTATACRTTATTGTTACATTGACATAAATATCAGCAAACATTGTTCTTGTGTCATACTTATGTAATGATGTAGATACAGTAGTAGGCGTGTTTACAATTTATAACATAACATTTATGAAAAAAACAATGTACCATAAAAAGTGACTTGATTATTATTATTAATAAGAATAATAAATATAAACTCCAATATATACTAAATCGGCTTACCAGTTTCTTTTGAGGGAGCTGTGTGTGTAGGTTGAAATCGAGTGACCTTTTAATAGCAGGATTAGGGTTGTCTTTTCCTCGTTTTGCTGGAGTTGTAAGGTCGAGGTGGCGATCTTGAGTATCTATTACCGAACTTTGAACCAAGTTAAGTTATCTCGAAAACTAGAAGAGGTCGGATGGGGTCGATAGCGATTTTCAAAAAGAGAATCACCTACTTAACACAATGACCATGTGAAAAGGTGTCGACCTCTTCGCKTTTTCAAGAAAAAGGTATGGTTTTGACACACAAAAATACAGTCAACGGACAACAACTCGGTTCGTGACCTGCTACTTTTTTTTTGATCTCACTGCTGAGAAATTTGACTTTTCATTATATGGTGTGGTTTCATAAAATGTTCAGCCGTTCGTGTCCTGTGTGGAAGATCCCTTTTCATTTCCAGATAAGCCATTATTTTCCCTTAAACACAAGCATGTTGTAAACAAAAGACTCAGTGTTTCGTTATTCTTGATAGCATTTTCTCAATATCTTTTGATCTTGAACAAAAAGTGAGGCATTTTCAATAGTCTTTCATCCCGCCTTTTTATGAAAAACATCAAGTATCATACGTTGCCCGCGATATACGTGCGGTCAGCGTCAGCAAATGTCCCTGCTGTTGTCCGGGAGTCCTCCCCATTCTCTCTCGGCCCCTCAGCAGGAACGCCTGTAAGTAGGTCATAACATTCACTGTCCCTTGAGAAACACGATACAAAAAGTCATCAGCGTCCAGTATTTGTATAAGCTTTCTCTTTGTAGCATGATTTACACCATGCCGGAAAACTGTAAAAATGTTCGTGGATTCATGGGCTTCCTGTGGTGCGCTTATTGGTACCCAGTCTCCGCCAGTTTCATTAAAGATGGCGACCTGAGAGACCTGAGGAATTTTAGTGTGCAAATAATTGTTGTTTTGTAATGGCTTCTACTAGTGTCAAGGATAAAGCATTAAGATTGATGCGTGTAGTTGCGTCTTCATCGTAAGTTTTTGTCTTTTTCTTAATTATTTAGGATTTACGTAAAGGTATATTTAAGCTTAACTAAAACGCAATCTTACAACTTTACAACAAACTTATTGCTTTTAATAGGTGTAGGTGCCCTGCACATTCTCATGCGTTTGGCCAAGGTACTTGTACCAACTTCAATTAATTAACTTRATATTTATTGTTTTATGGCTCTTATCGTTCGTTTTAGTGTTCGTTTTAAGTCTTGTTGCATAATTACAAGTACTTTTTAAATTAATTTGCATAACTATTGTAAAGCTTAAATGCTATGTCTAAAAATAGGGTCTTGTAGTCGCCTGGGATCGTCAACCGCTGAAGAACATGTTGAGCCAGAGTATGCATTTGAGGTCAGTAAAGACTGCTTATCTTATATATTTTAACACAAGTTTATACACACACATAAAGTATTTTGCATGCACTATGGTAGGCTGACCAATTTCAGAAAATAATGTCTCTGATGTTCCTGTATTGCCACTATTGTTTGATCTGATAATGGCACCATACGTATGCCCCTGACRTCTGTCATTTTGTAGCATAATTGCTTGTGAGGCAATTGCTATTAGATTTGTAATTGTTGGCATTTGCAATTCATTRAATTGAATATCAAATTAAATATTAATATTTCAGATGGCAAGTTCTAGTATTCGTTATGGTGAAGGAGTGACAAGGGAGGTTGGAATGGTAATTTAATCATCCCTATTTTAAAGCAAACTGATTTTAATTAGCTTTGAACAGACTTTCATCATGAGCTCTTACTTGCAGGATTTTCAAAATATGAAAGCAAAGAAAGTCTGTGTTGTTACAGATAAACAGGTGATATTGACATGGTCATAGCTCTTCCTGACTACTCAAAATATTGAATTTAAAATTATCAATACTCAGCTGTCCAAGTTACCACCACTTCATCAGGCAATAGAGGCACTAGCTAAGAGTAAAGTAGAGTATGATGTCTATGACAAAGTTAGAATAGAACCTACGGATACAAGGTAACTGTTTTTAAGACATGATAAGAAAAGATCGAAACGTCTGCATTAAATTTTATTTTTCAAGTTAGAGACGACTCAATTTTCTTATCATGCAACATCCTAGCTGCAATTTTTAATTTTTTTTTATTTGTTTTAAATTTTTTTTTTAATTTTTTAATATTTATAAAAAATATTTTTTAATTTTATTTAATTTTTAATTTTTTTTTAATTTTTTAATATTTTAAAAAGTATTTGTTTTTAAGCCATGTAAATGATGTTTTGTAGTGTCATTCATTTGGATGTTTGAATTCATTTATTTGTTGTTGTTATTGTTGTTGTTTTTAGCTTCAAAGACTGCATTGTTGTTGTTGTTGTTTTTAGCTTCAAAGACTGCATTGTTGTTGTTGTTGTTTTTAGCTTCAAAGACTGCATTGATTTTGCCAAGAGAGGAGATTATGATGCATTCCTTGCTGTTGGTGGAGGTTCAGTTATCGATACAGCTAAAGCTGCTAATCTATACTCCTGCTATCCTGATAGTGACTTCTTAGACTTTGTTAATGCTCCCATTGGGCATGGCAAACCTGTTGATAAGAGACTCAAACCACTTATTGCTGGTAGGGTATCCCACAAATTTAGTTTAGAGTTTTTTCTGTTTAATTCCCATTTAATTGTTTTCTTTGGTGGTTGATTGCTTGTTTGTTTGCTACTTGTCATGGGTATTTTTTAACATTTACTTGTKTATTTTTGTATTTTTTCTTTATGTTTTCACATTTGTCCAATTGTGTAATATGATTCAGGGCTCGAAATAACGGCCGGTCAAAGGACAATGTCCTTCCAAATTCGCTAGATGACCGGACAAACCTGGTTTTGAAAGGACAAATTGACCTGCCACATTTTTAAACAAATCATTTCTCAATTTGCTAAAAAATCTTTTACAAGCCAWTAAAATGCTTGCYGATCTTTCTGAATACAAAAACTTATAAATTAAAAGAAACAATAGTTTATTACTAAAGTTTTTGTCCTTTCAAAACTTGATATGACCTTCCACAAATGAATTTGGAARGACATCTTGTCCTGCATATGTCTGGCCGTTATTTCGAGCCTTGTGATGTACATTGTTGCCTGTTTGCTTTGAGGTACTTGTTTCTTGTTTACCATCTTGTCTCTTGTTGTCTAAACTGTTAATGTTTTGTGGTTTTATTTTCACTGCCTATTTTTCTTTGTATTTGTAGTTCCAACTACAGCTGGTACAGGCAGTGAGACAACTGGAGTAGCAATATTTGACTATGAGCCACTTAAAGCTAAAACAGGTTAATATTATTTCAATTAGTATTGCATAATGTGCAGTTGAGTCACATCAAGTCTTTCCTATTCTAACCATATATAAATCCATAAATCCTCAGGAATTGCAAACAGAGCTATCCGTCCTTTGCTTGGTATTGTTGATCCTCTACACACACTACACATGCCAGAAAGAGTGACAGCAAACAGTGGTTTTGATGTGTTATGGTAAGYTGTTTGTGTGTGTGTATACATGGATGGATGTCAAGCTCACTTCAGTTTCAAAAGGCATCCTCTTGCCTCTTTGAAACTAACAAACAAGCACTTTCCTTTTATTCTCTATTATTGGGATACCTTTGTAATTGGGCAGGTGTGCAAGAGACTGGATCCCTAAGAATAATGGAAGTGGCAAATTCCTCCTTTGAGCCTCTCCCTCAGACATTTTGTTTATCTTCGGTAAACTTCTATTTATTAAAACAGGAAACTAAAAAGAAAAAAAAAATAAAATGTGTTCAAATAAGCTAAGCTAACATATTCAATGGTTTTGTTTATTTCAGTCATTCTATAGAGTCCTATACAGCTATCCCATACACTAAAAGAGGACCACGTCCTACCAACCCTAACATGCGACCAGCATATCAAGGAAGTAACCCAATCAGTGACGTCTGGGCTTTGCATGCTTTGAGGATTGTTCATAAGTACATGAAAAGGTATTTGATGACACCCTATTAGATTTAAAGTCACAAAATATAATCTAAATGTTGCTATTTTGATATCAGAGCTGTAAAAGATCCTCAGGATCTTGAGGCAAGATCAGCCATGCATTTGGCAAGTGTGTATGCTGGTGTAGGGTTTGGAAATGCAGGAGTACACTTGTGGTATGTTAATCCAAGCATGATGAGCTACCGACAGAGTCCATAACCTTCTATCTCTTGTCAAGGATAATTCCAATCTCATAAAAACGAATTTTATATTTAGTGTTAAAATAGTCTTTTCCTGTTTTACAGCCATGGTATGTCCTACCCAATATCTGGCCTTGTCAAGTCATACAGAGCTAAAGATTACGATGTTGAACATCCTTTGGTGGTATGAGATACAGAAATAGTTGCCTTGTTGTCAGATTTTAGTATATAATTAGGAAGTTGTCCTTCAGTAGCATATTGAGGTAAAAGGAGAGTTTAGGGCCATACACTACTGTGTAATTCAAGTATGTCTTGTATTGTATAGTAGTATTGTATTTTTGTGACTTGAAGATGACGGCGTCCAGCAAAAGCTCGTCAAGACATACTTGAATTTCACAGTAGTATATGGCCCTAACTCTCCTTTCAGTATAGTATTTGTATGATGCAAAGAATTTTACTAATGTTGTGTATTTTGTATGTTTTAGCCTCATGGATTGTCTGTCGTTTTAACAGCACCAGCAGTATTTGCTTTCACTGCAGCAGCTTGTCCTGAAAGACACATTGAAGTGGCTCGTTTGTTAGGTGAACAGCTAAAACATATAATTCTGCCCATTAATTTCTCATTTATCAATTTATTCAATAACTCATTTATTTCAAGGCTCATTTATCTATTAAATTTAATTTATTTGTTTGTGTTTCTTTCATTTATTTTTTTTTTCTTTCTTTTTGTGAGTGTTTTCAGTCATGTTTTTTGTCCTTTCCTGATTATTTTGCTCTTTTCGTCCTTTCTTTTCGGTATGCTCTCTTTTTTCTCTTTCTCTTTTTTCTCTTTCTCTTTTTTCTCTTTCTCTTTTTTCTCTTTCTCTTTTTTCTCTTTCTCTTTTTTCTCTTTTCCCATTGCCTTTGTTAATCCTCTTTCCTCTAATTCTTTCCCAATGTTCATTTTAAAGGTGCTGACACCACTAATACCAAGAAGGAAGACGCAGGGTTGCTATTGGCTGACACTTTAAGGCAGTTTATGTTATCATTAGATGTAGATAATGGTCTTAAAGCTTTGGGCTATAGTAATGATCACATCCCAGAACTAGTCCAGGGTACAATACCCCAGCAACGTGTTACAAAACTTGCTCCTGCAGGGACCCCAGGGGAGGAAGAACTTGCTATGCTCTTTGAGAACTCAATGACAGTATATTAGGTATATTATTACAATTCTCATCATCTTTTCCAGTAATGAGGTACAATAGACTTGTAGGGCCTTATAAACATGATATTTAATGAAAAATTTTGAATGAATAGTAATATCATCACTGATTTTTGAATGGAAAATATTTTCTAGGGTACACAAGCTAAGTATTTTCGAAATATTTTAATATTTTAAAATTGATTTGGGTACCCTGTGTGGTAACTGGGACAAAAAAAATTAGGAATCACTGCAGACAGATATTTTAGAACAAATTTTGTATATATTTTTAAGACAAATTTAAGAAAAACGGCATTCAATAGCAGAATATTCTTTAGTAAAAAAGTTGTGACATTAATTAATAGAATGAATGTATATGTCAGCTTACTGGCTGTCCAAGGTGCAATTGTTTTCAAAAGAAAAATGATACGAAAAGATTATTCCTACAATTAAAATCTGTAATGAACTGCGTTGTTTGATCTGTGATTCAGTTGTAATGTATGCTAATATAAATGCAAACAAATGCTAACAAAACTAATTTACACAGTCAGTTACCATGACAACACAATTCAATATGGCCGCCGAAGTCGACAAACTCGATTACCGGACTAAAAAGAGCGAAAATATCACTTAAAGCGTGAATTTGACGTCTTGGATTTATGTTTATACTCAAATAACATGAGTTCCAAGGTACCAAGTGTTTTAAAAGAACCTACACTTCCTATTAAACAGCGAGATTTGTCTCGAGGCAAGAAGTTTCGTGACACGGTCAAGAAATGGGGTGAACCAACACATTTGCATCGAAAGAGAGTTATTATCGTACCAAGTATTGCTTGTGAGGCTAGAGACGTTGATTTAAGTCCTCAAGATAGAGGAAAAGGCCTTCCAATTGTCCCTGGTGGCGACACTGGTTCAGTTATTTTATCTGGTAAGACTGCTTTGACTCAATTAGGCGTTTATTATTGTGTAATTTACACGCTGTTTTATCGTTTATCAGCTTTGAAATGTATTAAGTACCATTTTAAATAATTAATATGATGATAGCTGCAGTTGATTTTCATTCAATATCTTATCTATTCTATAGGAGATGAATTCAAAARTGCTAAACTTCGTTCAGAATATGAAAAGTACAAATCTTGGATTGCAGAAAGAAAGAAGCTCAGGTCGGTTATAAACCAGAGTGGTCTAAATCAGACATGGTTAGACAAAAAACTGGGAAAAACACCTCTAGAAAAGCGTGTTCTTAAAAGAATGAAAAGAGATTGTACACCAGATATACGAATTAGAAAAGTGGTAAGATTGTRATTCAGTTTATCATGATATCACTTCACCTACTTTTAAGTTTATCTTTTTACACAACTGTATCATATCATATCTTGTTCAGTTCCAACTTGTCTATTTCTTTGCTTTTCATTGTCTTTTTCTTGTTGATTAAATCCCAATGTCAAAACATTCTATAATATTCCTACTCTTTCTTGTAGCTACCAGATGTCAAATCCCCAGAGGAAGATCCTACTACAGGGGTCGACAAAGGAGTCCCTACAATCCATCAACCATCACCAGCGGCTCTTGCAATAATCCAAGAATATCTGGACAAAAAGAGAATGCGGCTTGTGGACCTTTTTGCACAGGCAGATAAAGACAAGAACTGGATTGTATCTCGTGATGAGTTTAGGAATATTATCAAGTCYTCACAAATACCTCTAAGTGAAACTGATTTAGAAGATTTAATCTTGGCTCTTGATAAGGACGAGAATGATGCTTTAGACTACTTRGAGCTATCGGCAGGAAGACAGGCTTATCTAGATGAAAGGTGTGTGCATGTTGGAGGGTTTCAACGCTTATAAAACATCTGTATTCTGTGTTGTTGGACAGGGAAAAAGATAATTTTTYACTGTCAGTGATGACTCAGGAAACAGATTCAAAGCAGTCTTTTGAGGGGTGCAACACATAAAATGGGCTTCTCTAAGTCCCTGGCAAAAGACACTCATATCTTACTTTGTGTTTTCTGTATTAGAATTGTGCAACAGAATAAAAGTGTAGATCCACACAACACCTCAGARTCTTTAGCTGAAGATTCCAAAGAAGATCTCTCACTAACAGATGCTAAAGATGGWAGTGACTCAAGACCTGCTAGTCCACACAAAAGTCCTCCAAGCTCACCAACACTAAAGGAATTACCAGACAGTCCAGGCAGCCGACCATCGTCTCCTTCTTTATTGGAAATTCCTGCTACAGTTTTGTCAGAGAAGGTTGAAAAAGTCTCATTAGATGAGGTATTGAATATTATGCATGTTGTACAACTACATTATAATTGATGCAGTACCAACAGCATTAATACTCCAGTTTCAAAGCGAATAACCGCTGTTTTATTTGACAGCAGATTCTATTACGCAAAGAACTTACCAAAGACAAAAGAAAGCACCAGAAAATGTTGCCTGTACAATAGCACTAACAATTTACATTTTCCCCGAGTTGAGGCTAACCCTGTATTCCCAGTAGGCTCATACCTTAAGTCTCATGGGAATTCAGGGTTAGTCTCAATTCGGGGAAAATGCGAATTTTCAAGTCTATTGTAATAACGACATTTTCTCATGCTCTCTTTTGTGTTTGTAAAGTCTTTGCGCAAGCGAATCTGTTGTCAAATAAAGCAGCGGATTTGCGCTATGAATTCGAAACTGGAGTATTGTCAATAATGATTAGTAATTTTTGCTTGTGTCATAGATGAAGTCAATGAGAATTAAAAAACAACAAAAAAGAAAAGAAAGAGAGAAAGCAAAGCAGAAAAAGAAACAAGTTGACAAACCACAAGTTGCTCCATCGACATTAGGGGGGATCACTGGGGAAGTTATTGACAAATACCGAAAACGAACAATGCAGGAATATAACGACACAGTAAAACTATGTGACATGCATGGAGTACAGCTTGGTAAAGCTCTCCTCGGTAGAGGTAAGAGATTTTATAGTTTTGCTACTTTTCCTGTACTTTAATTACAAAATTACAACTGAACGATTTTGAGTGATGTGTCATTATTCGCAATATTTATAAGTTTTTATTTAAATATTATAGTTCTTCTGCAACCTGAAGATAAACCTGTAACTCAATGTCTACCAAAACTACGACAACCAAGCTATTTCAGTATATCTTCACGTCATTATATTCCTAGTGGTCCACAACTAAAAAACCCTGAATGGGCTTCTTGACTATTATAGAACACTAATATTCAATAAGAACATGGCCATTATATTGTCTGATTGCTGATTAGATTGACTTTATTATTTACAAATGTATAATTGATTTTTATTCTAAGATGAAATAAAATTWTATGAATTTTTATAGAAAGTGTGGTCTTTTCTGGTTCAGCTATTTAAACTAAAACTGTTATATACAATTGTAGGTGATGTATTGTATTCTCATGCTGCAATGATGTACAGTTATTAGACAAGGAAATGAGGCGTACAAGTGATTTGGAAACTATTAATTAGTACTAACTCTCTAAATCTATTGTTTTCCATTGTTCTTTTCCAAAACTAAATAGTCGCTTTTCTTGCACRATCAAATACAAATTACTCRAAAGMTTCGCAGGATATTTTCCAGGAAGTATCCATGATAAAACGTCATATCAAAGTCAAGGAAGAAGTTTAACAGGCGCTTGAGTCGCCAACTGCRCCRTTGCTATTTCCTTTTTTCGGTACATCGCTRTATCKATATGGATTATCATGTTGACTCTTGTCGTTTCTCTTTGAAGTTGACTGTGCCTCACTGTCTCTCCGACTRAATCCCAGTCCACTGACRAACAAAGTCCACTGRCTTCTCACTTCTTTGATTCTGATGCAGTGAAARAAAAAGATGAAGAAACCTTGTAASGAGTTAAAAATACAGAACASATACTCAAAGACGATTCTTGCATCAGAGATRGCTAGAGCACCAAACAGCCATGTTAGACCCAGTARACACATGATRGCAAGGGCYGTCCAACAYTGTTTTTTAAACCTTGTCTTTGAGTCTGTGGTCGCCAGTGAGTTTTTGAGGTGATACATAACACTGATAAAGATTAATAGATTGAAGAGGAGAATGGCAAGGACTGGAACAAACCAGGCAATAATGCTGTACACATACTTGTGAAG